AAGAGCGTCTGAGCAAACAGTGACCGCCGTCCTCCAGACACAGCATTGTTTGTCATGTTTATTGTCTTTGGTTGGGCCGATTGAGATAGAGGTTTGTGTGTTAATATTATTTGGATTCTTTTTCAATGCCATGTAAATCTGAACAGTATAAATAAACAATGAAAATACTCTTATATTTAGTCTCGGCCCTTTCATACTGTATGCACTGGAATAACAGGATTTACACAGTTTGGATTTTTAATGTTTCTGAAAGAAGTCTCTTCTGCTCGCCAAATCTGCTTTGATATGATCAAAAAATACTGTAAAAATTGTGAAATATTATTTCAGTTTAAAATAACGGTTCTCTATGTGAAGAATATCTGTTAAACTAATTAATTTCTGTGATGCGCAGCTGAATTTTCAGCATCATTACTCCAGTCTTCAGTGTCACATGATCTTCAGAAATCATTTTAATCATAATTTCTGATTATTATCAATGTTGAAAACAGATTGGAGTAAGAAAGACTTTTTGAAAAAGGAAGGAATTGATACTTTTATTCATCAGTGATACATTAAATTAATCAAAAGTGACAGTGAAGACATTTATAATGTTGCAAAATTTCTATTTCAAATAAACGCTGTTCTGTTGAACTTTCTGTTCATCTGTGAATCCTGAAAAATAAAATGCATCACAGTTTCCACGACTGTGTTCAACATTGATAATAATCAGAAATGTTTCTTGAGCAGCAAATCAGCATATTAGAATGATTTCTGAAGATCATGTGACACTGAAGACTGGAGGAATGATGCTGAAAATACAGCTGCGCATCACAGAAATAAATTACAGTTTAACAGATATTCACATAGAAAACAGCTGTTTTAAATTCTAAAAATATTTCACAATTTTTACTGTATTTTTGAACAAATAAATGGTGAGCAGAAGAGACTTCTCTAGTTTTGACCAGCACTGTACTCACAATTATTGAATGGTGAAACACCAGTATATTTTTTCTTATTTGTTTCTCCATCATCATCTCGTCTCAGTGTTTTGTTTGTGGGGGTGTGTCTTTGTTTCGTCTCATGAATTACACAGCACTGTTATTGATCCGCTTCCAACTCAAACAAGCAGCACATCTGCTATCATTACGCACCTTCATATTGAGCGTTTCTTCACGGCATCAGCGGTTCCTTTCCTCTGAACACACACCCCGTCTGCAGTCACACAATCCCACAATCCCCCAGCACAAAACACATTATGTGAGTGTCGCTGCTTATCAGGAGATTCTGACAAAGGGGCCAAAATCAGGCATTTTTAGGAATTCTGACGTTTTCCAGTGAATTTGGAATTTTTGCCCTACTGAAAATAAGCTGTAAAATTGGTGTGATATCAGCCCGTTTCTTTTCCTGTAAATCAGCAACTGGGTAATAATTTGTGTGTGTGTGTGTTTATGGCCTTTTAATGGAAACTACAATCTCCTCCAATCTGCCTCTATTCAAACTCTTCTGTATTCATTCAGCGTTCCTGGGAATCTGGCTGCTGTTCAACCGTGAAAAAACACAAACATTCCTCCGTAAAGACACTGTTCTTCACATTTCCCAAAGCTTCTTTCTACATCCAACCTAAACCGGAGTACTTGTGAGCGTTTTTGATGTACGCTTGCATTCAAAAGTTTGGAACAATTTGAAATGTTTTTAAAAGAAGTCTCTTCTGCTCATCTAGGCTGGATTTATTTGTTCAAAAACATAGTAAAAATTGTGAAATATTATTACTATTTAAAACAGCTGTGTTTTATGCGAATATCTGTTAAACTGTCATTTATTTCTGTGATCAAAGCTGAATTTTCAGCATCATTACTCCAGTCTTCAGTGTCACATGATGCTTCAATAAATTAAAAAAATTGTTATAAAAATAATGTTACAAAAGTTTTACATTTCAAACAAATGCTAAACAAATTAAGCTTGGATCACAGTAATACATTACATATATATTCACATAGAAAAAAAAGCTATTTTAAATTATAATATTTCACATTTTTACTGTAGTTTTTGGTCGAACATGCAGCCTTGGTGAGCAGAAGAGACTTCAAAAACATTTAAAAATTGCAGTTATTCCAAACTATACATATGACAGTATAAGCAAGTGTGTGAATATTTTAGTGCTGTGATTCCTCATTATAATTAATCACATTTTTGCTTTACCTAGTTCATTTTAAATGCTCCTCCGAAATATAATTATTATTTAAGAATAAATAATCCAAGTAGTTTTTTTAATGGTCATTGTAGATGCTCTTTGCAAGTGTTGATAATTGCAAATGATACTGATGTTTTATTGAAGCAGCCTGATGTCAAATTAATTAATTGCATATATGAATTAGTAATGCATAACATATCAGTCAGGCCGATAAATTAGGTGATGTTTTTATTTCATACTGAGATACTTCCCCTCGTGTCGTAATAATATTCATTTTCATTTAAGTTGCTATAATTAAGTCTTATGCATCAGCATTATATTAGTCATTATTGAATCATCCTTATTGGTCTGATTTGGTCATTTTGTCTTAATTTTCATGCATTTTTGTCGCTCTGCCTGAACAGATTTTTAGGATTGTTCTTGTTTTAAACTGAAAAATGTGAATCATCAATCATGCTTTGTGGCTGGAGTTGACGTTAATCAGCAGGTTATTTTTCCACCAAATGTGATTTGTGAAACTGGTGACGTGTCAGATTTGATATCATGGGAAGTGGTTTCATGTGTCATTTCATAATAAATGTCCAGCTACTAAACGAATCAAATGTATTCTAGGCCTTTTTATGCAGTAATCGTATTATGATGCAGCATCAGAGTGAGCTTTAATTGCATTGCTTTTCTAGATATCAAGCGCCGTCTCCTCTCGCTCTGTTTAGGTTTTCATGTGAAAATGATTAGTTTGGTCTGTTCCGGCACGTAACCCGAAACCCTCAAACTAAAATGAATTCTATGATTCTAATCATATTTTGATCCTGATTAAAGCTTTTCCTATCTTTTAATAAGATCTTATTTGTTTCCGGGACCAAAACAAACTTTTAAGCTTTTAAAATAACCATTAAATGTGATTTTTGTTCTTTAAATTGAATAAATGACAATATGTTGTTACTGTGAGACCATACCTTGAGTTTTGAGTGTTTGGCTGAGATACTGAGTCCGACATCAGCCAATCTAAACAGTTTACTTCTCATCCAGACAATGCTGAGATGCTTTTGTTTAAGAACATCGCTGTTATCATGAGCAGAGCAAACAAGCTCAAATCCTGTCCTCCGTAGATAGAAAGATCACATATGAATCATAGATGGATGTACAGTATGAACTCGCATCACACTTTTAACATTAACAATCATAGAAGAAATCCCGAGAAACCAGAACTGTGTTACTATATCACTGAGATATAGTTATTTTTATATTGTTTTCATTTTATTTTTAATTAAAATTTTAGTCATTTTGCTGTGTTTTTTAATTTGGATTATTTATTTATTTATAATTTTAGTACACCATTAACCTGAATGAAAGCGAGAACTGTTGTTCTGGCGACTAATTAAATAAAATAAGTTTAAGGTTTAATTTATATTTTATTTAATTTCAAGTAACAAAATGTTAGAATTATATAGATTTTATTATAGTTTTATGGATGTTTTGAATTAGTTTTATATAGTTTAACATTTACTGTTTTCATTTTAATTATAATTATTTTGTCATTTTTATTGTTTTTTGAAATATGTTATTAAAAGTTAATAAAAATGAGAAATGTTGCCTTGGCAACTAGATGAAATAAAATAAGTTTACGGTTTTATTTTTTATTTATTTCTGTTTATTTTATTTCAAGCTTCATTGAGATACTATTATAGTTTTATTGATGTTTTGCATTAGTTTAATATAGTTTAACATTAAAAAGGTTTAGTAATTTTGTTGTGTAGTTTTGTCATTTTTATTGTTTTTTAAAAATGTTTATATTTTTATAAATTTTTATTTTAGTTTTAGTAATTTTAAAGTTAATAAAAATGAGAAACGTTGCCTTAGCAACTAGATTAAATAAAATAAGTTTAAGGTTTTATTTTTATTTATTTCTGTTTATTTTATTTCAAGCATCATTGAGATACTATTATAGTTTTATGGATGTTTTGCATAAAATCATTTTTTTTTTTTTTTTATATGTTGATATTTTTTATTAATTTTTATTTTAGTTTTAGTAATTTTAAAGTTAATAAAAATGAAAAATGTTGCCTTGGCAACTAAATGATATAAAATAAGTTTACGGTTTTATTTTTATTTATTTCTGTTTATTTTATTTCAAGCATAATTGAGATACTATTATAGTTTTATTCATATTTTGAATTAGTTTTTACATTTTCTGTTTTCATGTTAAATTTAGTTGTTTTAGTTGTTTTTGTCATTTTTATTATTTTTTTTTATTTTATATTTTTATTTCAGTTTTAGTTATTTTAGTACTTCCAGTTGAATTAAATGAAAATGAGAAATGATGCCTTGGCAATAAGTGTACAGTTGTATTTATGTTTTATTTCAGTTCAAGTTTATTTGATTTCAAGTAACAAACGTTTTTTGGTTTTAGTTAACACGTTATAAATAAATCTCTTACGCACAGAACATTAATATGAAATATAATGCAGCATCTGTTAAAAATGTATCTCAAAATAAATCCGAAGCTTGGAAAGAAACAGTGATTTTCCACTCGGCTCACTTGGTCTGTGCTTGTTCCTGCTGTAAAGGTAATTGTGCTGTTACTGTAGGTAGATGTTGTTTAGAAATAGAAACAAGAACTCCAGGGATGAGCCAAAACCTCAGCTTATGATTACACATTCATATCTAAACTCTCATTATGCCACATAGTTGTAGGTGATTTATTGATTTGAGGTTACACAAGTATAAACTTGTACACTAAGCATGTATTTGTGTAAAGCATTCCTGTAGTCTTTGGTAAATGACAAGCATTTTTCATGCATTTAACATGCATGCTTAATGCCAAAAGTGTATAACCAACTCAAATAGTACTGAGTCAAAATGTCCATTAATTCCTCTAAATGCAAATCAGGTTTGAGCTGTTTTCTTTGGACTTGAGTTTATTTCTCAGAACTTTGTCTCTAAATGATGCAGGAGAAACCGAGAGACGAGGAGTCTGAGCTCTGTGAGATTAAGAGGTATGGTTTCATTTTATTCCTATTGCACTGTTTATTTATTTATTATATCTATATCGAGGGAATTAGGTCGCAAATGTCATGCATAAAAGCCTTTAAAGTATTTTAAAGTATGTACAAATATTTAAAAACAGCAGACTCGGGATGGAGGAGCCACATCTAACATTAGAATAAAATAAAAAATCTTAAACCTAATTTCCATAATGACCAGCGCAATCTACCAAGAGCAGCGCAAATTACCACCTGCTTTAAATATAAATATGGCGCAAATACCAGTAATTTGACGAGCGCAAACGTTAGTAAATCACGTTGCATGATTCATTTTAATACTCTCCTCCTATAAATTTTGCATCTGAAAGGGACACTCCTGCAAATGCATAGGCCTATTCAAATAAGGTCAGACGTAAAAATAACTGTCCACGCCTTTTCAGCGCTAATGGCTTAATTTGTAAAGACAATATTGCCTTTTGTAAAGACAATGTATTGCATCTCTAACAACACACAGCGGTGTTTCCTTACTGAATGAATTTGCGTTTTTGAGTCAGTGATCCACTCATAAAAACAGTTTATTAGTTTGTTCCTGAATGAATCAACCGCTTTGAAAGAATCGATTGAATAAATGACTCAACAAATCATTAAGACAGTGGCTTGCCGCCACCTACTGGCAATTTTAGTTTCATATTTAAAACTATCATAACTCAACATTATTTATGCAATATGTGCAGTGTAAAAGCATACAAGTGCTAAAAAGTAAGTCTATAGAGGCAATAGAGCCCTGCATGTTTAATTATACTTGGTTTAAAATAAAATAAAAATTACACATATTTAGCCTATATTTTTAAGTGTATCCTGTGTATTCTGACACATTTGTGACCCTGGACCACAAAACCAGTCATAAATCAAGTTTCAATTTTTTTGAAATTGAGAATTATACATAATAAATAATCTTTCCATTGATGCACGGTTTGTTAGGATAGGACAATATTTGGCTGAGATACAACTATTTGAAAATCTGAGGGAGCAAAAAAATCTAAATATTCAGAAAATCATCTTTAAAGTTGTCCAAATGAAGTTCTTAGCAATGCATATTACTAATCAGAAAATATGTTTTGATTTATTTACAATAGGAAATTTACAACATATCTTCATGGAACATGATCTTTACATAATATCCTAATGATTTTTGGCATAAAAGAGAAATGTATAATTTTGACCCATACAATGTATTGTTGGCTATTGCTACAAATATACCTGTGCTGCTTATGACTGCTTTTGTGCTGCAGGGACACATATGAGGCAGGAGGGGCGGATCAGTCAATCATGATTTTATTCGCTCCACAGCAGGATTAACTCCGCGAAACGCCAGCAACTCCTGCAAAATGACACTTGGAGAAGTTTAACATGGACAACAGCACCGCGACGCGCAGGATGGAGCCCACCATCCCGGCCATCATGTTCATCTTTGGAGTCATCAGCAACCTGATCGCCATCGTGGTGCTCTGCAAGTCCAGGAGGGAGCAGAAGGAGACCACCTTCTACACTCTGGTCTGCGGTCTGGCGGTCACGGATCTCCTGGGAAGCGTCCTCGCCAGTCCGGTGACCATCGCCACTTACGTGAAGGGCGCTTGGCCTGATGGAGACCCCCTGTGCCAGTACTTCGGATTCGTTCTGCTCTTCTTCTCCCTCGCGGGACTGAGCATCATCTGCGCCATGTCCATCGAGAGATACATCGCCATCAATCACGCGTACTTCTACAACGACTACGTGGATAAGAAGCTCGCGGGAGTCACGCTGCTCGCCATTTACGCATCCAACATACTGTTCTGCGCGCTGCCGAGCGCTGGTTTTGGAGAGGTCAAGATGCAACACCCTCAAACCTGGTGCTTCATCGACTGGCGGACCAACGTGAGCACGCACGCCGCGTTTTCCGTCATGTACGCGGGCTGCAGCTCGCTGCTGATCCTGGTGACGGTGGTCTGTAACGTGCTGGTGTGCGCCGCGCTCATCCGGATGCACCGGAGGTTCGTCAGGCGCACGTCGCTCGGCACAGACCCGGGCAGAGCGTCTGATCCCGGCAGGAGCCGCAGCTTTAGCCGCCTCGCTGGCGCGGAGATCCAGATGGTCATTCTGCTCATCGCCACCTCCGCCGTCGTGCTTATTTGCTCCATTCCGCTCGTTGTAAGTTCCTGTGATTTAAAAAAAAAAAAAGTTTTGTGAATTTAGTATATATTTTTTTCATGTCAATACATTGTTTAGAGCATAAGAAAAAATTTGAAAAATAACAATTTTCAAAAATTGTATTTTATTCATATGTTATGCTCAGTGTTGGGAAGGTTACTTTGGAAATGTAACAGGTTACAGATTACAAGTTACTCAATTTAAAATGTAACAAGTAGTGTAACTATTTCAATTACTTCATTAAAGTAATGATTACACTTTTTATTACTTTTCTAAAGTTCTAATGTTTTGTAAACATGTAAAGCAGGCAGGCTGAACTCAACGCTGATTACTGTCAGACTTTCACAATCCTTCATCACTTGAATTAGAATAATTTAATTTTAAAGCACAGCCACCGCAAAATCAGACTTTAACACCTGTTTTTACTTTGAGATCGCTGAGGTTAAATACAGATTTAAAATCATGAGATATAGTTTAATAGCTATGATACTGTTTTTGAAATCAAATCTTTGTGTAGTTATGACTGGAAACACTGGCATCTAACAAAGCCTTGGAAAAAAACAGTTAAATCTTAAAAAAAAATAAAGCATATACATCAACCCAAATAGGACATAAAACAGTTATGGAATATGCATGTGTCCTAAACTCCTGAAACATTAGTGTCTCATATTTTAGAGCAGCCAGTGCAATTTATGAAAGATATCAATCAAATCTGTATGTGTGTGAAAAAATATTCAGATGTAACCTCCTTCGTAATCGTTAACATTTTCATAAGTAACTGTAATTTAATTACACATTTTTTTCAGTAACTGATTACAGTTACATTTATTTTGTAATTAAATTATGTAATTTAGTTACATGTAACTAGTTACTGCTCAACACTAGTTATGCTATGACCTCTGTAGAAGACATCTGGGGCTAGTTGCATAAATAGCCACTATGTTAAGACTCTGTCTTAAGAGCTAGTTTGAGCAGTTAGCCAAGAGGTAATTAGTCTTACTTTAAGGATTCAAATTGGGCCAAGCTACCATTTTGTAATTGACTTTAAAAACTTATGACTAGACTAAATTTTTAAGACTAGTCTAAGCAGTTTATGCAACTGGACTTTAAAAAGTCCTGTTTTTAAACAAATAAAAAGACATGAACAAACATGAAAAGGCAAAAACAGTGGGATTTCTTTTTTGTTTGTTTGTTTTAATCACAAACAATTTTTTTTTATACCAAACTTTATATATAAAGATGATTCTCAACTATGTTATGAAAGATATTTAAAAAAAAACATTTTTCTTTATGCAAAATGTGTGTAAAATGGCCATAAATGGGTTTCCCCATTATATACAATGTATCTATAAACTGTATCTAATTTGCATATTAATGTGTTTTTGGGCCAACATTGAATGAAAAAATAAGTGCAATAATGGGAGTCATAATTGGCAAGATTTTCATAATAATATCTAATATTTCATAGGAATAGTGATATATAATTTTTCCCTATTCATTTGTTGTGTCAACTTTATCTCTCCGATCGCTCTGCTGCTCGATATGATTGTCAAATCTGCAGATTAGAATGAATGAAGGAGGATGATTATGACGATAAAAGTGTTTAGCTGACATATCCCTGGGTCACAGTGTCACAGTATTACTGCTGTAAAATACAGTATTGGATACATAGTCAAAATCAGCTATTTGATTTCTTTAGCAAGTGGTGATGTGTCAAATATTTGATCACAAAACAGAAAGCAAAGCAAAAAGAACCATAATCAACATATTTTGTCAGATTTGATAGATGGTAACTATTTTTCTTTTATTTACCATACTGAATCAAATATAACTGTTGTTACAATTATTCATCACATATAAGGGTGCATTACAGTCTTCAAGTAAAGTGTCTGTGTTCAGGCTAATGTTTTTTTTTTTTCATTTTTAAGGTCAAGTTTTTGATGCAATGGAACTACAAAAATACAAAAAGGCCCCTTTTAAAAGTCTCTAATCATACTGGTAAAAAATGTATAGCCTGAATGCACTAAGTCGCTTTGGATAAAAGCGAAACAAAATTTAAATGCATAAATTATGTTTTATTCCTTGAATGTCAGTAAAAATGGACAACATTAGTTTAGTGTCCAGAACAAACCTGAAGAACATCTACCAAAAAATAAATTTAAAAAATCCACTTGACAACACTGTAAAAAATGATTTGATTTGATTTGATGATCGAAGTTGTAAATAAATATAATATGAGTACATTTTACAGAAAATGTAATAATTTTAGAAATTTGCTGTGTGAAATCTGTATTTTTTTTCAGTGAGGTGAAAATCTCAGAAAGTTATGAACATGTAATATGTGTAATAATTCTTAGTTATATTATCATAGTAAAGTTTCATTAAAAATGTGCACAGATTTCTCAATATTGCACTGAAAAAAAATTGGTGTAGAAACTATTTTTACTCAGAAATTGCGAGTAAATTTCACAAATATTTAAGTAACACATTAAATTTGTATTTTGAATTTTTTTGTAAAACATACTCCAGTAATCTGTTTTATTTACAAGTTCAAAAAATAATTTTTCACAACCTGACTTTAGAGCATCACTTAGTGTCACTCGTTTACTTTATGATGCAAATGGATGTTCCTTCAGACCCCACTGTACACATATTCACGTGCAAAATGTTTTCATGTTATTTTTTCAGATGCATGAAAATTTGGTAACTAAATCATGTCATTTTTTAAGGTCCAGGTGTTTCTCAACCAACTTTACAAGACGCCGGTGGAGAAACGTCTGGATAAAAATCCAGATCTGTTGGCGATCCGATTTGCCTCGACCAACCCCATTCTAGATCCCTGGATCTACATCCTGCTGCATAAAGCGGTTCTCTCAAAAATTCTTTTATTTAATATTAATGAAAAACATTTATTTACCCAAAAACAAAAACATTCATATAAAATTTAAAAGATTATATTATATTATACATTATACATTTTCTTAGACATACAGTAAGCCAAAATGTTGCTTAGTGTAGATCAATACATCAATCATATTTTGCCTTTTAACATTTAAATTTCACCATGAACAAAAGCTAAATTAGCTATAGGCTTAATATGAAAGTATAACTAAAATAAAACTAAATGTTTAATTTTGTTTAGATTTTTTTGTTAAAAAACATGCATCACATTCATTATACTGTATGTATAACAAAAACAAAAAACAGGGCATCAGTAACATCAATAAAACGCTAAATATTTTTTTTTTAACGGGGAGTGTTATTAGTTTGTAGACAAACTGAACAAAACAGGTTTGAACCTGGTTGATTTTCGACCAGCCCGAAATAAAAATGCTCTTTAAATAAATGACACGCTCGTTTCTGATATTTACTTTCACTAGTTCACATTTCTGTCCTTGTTAAACTCTACAATGTTTGCATCTTTGCATTGTTAGAACTTTCATGTTATTGTCTCCTCTTTGTGCATCGTTTTGTTGTATTTAAAAATGTCTGCTAGATTAATAAATGTTTAAAAACCCCTGCAAGGAAATGCGCGCTTCTTGTTTAAAGCGGATATCAATGCGTTATGAGTTTACAGCAGCATCAGTGGCACTGAGTGAGTGTTTGACGGGACGCGGTGATTTTTCGGTAAGGGCGTCCCGTTATGAGTTTGTGATATGAGGCAGGAGGGGCATGACTTTGTTCACAGCCAGCAGGATTTACTCCGAGCAACTCCTGCAAAATGACACTTGGAGAAGTTTAACATGGACGACAGCACCGCGGCGCGCAGCATGGAGCCCACCATCCCGGCCATCATGTTCATTTTTGGAGTCATCAGCAACCTGATCGCCATCGTGGTGCTCTGCAAGTCCAGGAGGGAGCAGAAGGAGACCACCTTCTACACTCTGGTCTGCGGTCTGGCGGTCACGGATCTCCTGGGAAGCGTCCTCGCCAGTCCGGTGACCATCGCCACTTACGTGAAGGGCGCTTGGCCTGATGGAGACCCCCTGTGCCAGTACTTCGGATTCGTTCTGCTCTTCTTCTCCCTCGCGGGACTGAGCATCATCTGCGCCATGTCCATCGAGAGATACATCGCCATCAATCACGCGTACTTCTACAACGACTACGTGGATAAGAAGCTCGCGGGAGTCACGCTGCTCGCCATTTACGCATCCAACATACTGTTCTGCGCGCTGCCGAGCGCTGGTTTTGGAGAGGTCAAGATGCAACACCCTCAAACCTGGTGCTTCATCGACTGGCGGACCAACGTGAGCACGCACGCCGCGTTTTCCTTCATGTACGCGGGCTGCAGCTCGCTGCTGATCCTGGTGACGGTGGTCTGTAACGTGCTGGTGTGCGCCGCGCTCATCCGGATGCACCGGAGGTTCGTCAGGCGCACGTCGCTCGGCACAGACCCGGGCAGAGCGTCTGATCCCGGCAGGAGCCGCAGCTTTAGCCGCCTCGCTGGCGCGGAGATCCAGATGGTCATTCTGCTCATCGCCACCTCCGCCGTCGTGCTTATTTGCTCCATTCCGCTCGTTGTAAGTTCCTGTGATTTAAAAAAAAAAAAAGTTTTGTGAATTTAGTATATATTTTTTTCATGTCAATACATTGTTTAGAGCATAAGAAAAAATTTGAAAAATAACAATTTTCAAAAATTGTATTTTATTCATATGTTATGCTCAGTGTTGGGAAGGTTACTTTGGAAATGTAACAGGTTACAGATTACAAGTTACTCAATTTAAAATGTAACAAGTAGTGTAACTATTTCAATTACTTCATTAAAGTAATGATTACACTTTTTATTACTTTTCTAAAGTTCTAATGTTTTGTAAACATGTAAAGCAGGCAGGCTGAACTCAACGCTGATTACTGTCAGACTTTCACAATCCTTCATCACTTGAATTAGAATAATTTAATTTTAAAGCACAGCCACCGCAAAATCAGACTTTAACACCTGTTTTTACTTTGAGATCGCTGAGGTTAAATACAGATTTAAAATCATGAGATATAGTTTAATAGCTATGATACTGTTTTTGAAATCAAATCTTTGTGTAGTTATGACTGGAAACACTGGCATCTAACAAAGCCTTGGAAAAAAACAGTTAAATCTTAAAAAAAAATAAAGCATATACATCAACCCAAATAGGACATAAAACAGTTATGGAATATGCATGTGTCCTAAACTCCTGAAACATTAGTGTCTCATATTTTAGAGCAGCCAGTGCAATTTATGAAAGATATCAATCAAATCTGTATGTGTGTGAAAAAATATTCAGATGTAACCTCCTTCGTAATCGTTAACATTTTCATAAGTAACTGTAATTTAATTACACATTTTTTTCAGTAACTGATTACAGTTACATTTATTTTGTAATTAAATTATGTAATTTAGTTACATGTAACTAGTTACTGCTCAACACTAGTTATGCTATGACCTCTGTAGAAGACATCTGGGGCTAGTTGCATAAATAGCCACTATGTTAAGACTCTGTCTTAAGAGCTAGTTTGAGCAGTTAGCCAAGAGGTAATTAGTCTTACTTTAAGGATTCAAATTGGGCCAAGCTACCATTTTGTAATTGACTTTAAAAACTTATGACTAGACTAAATTTTTAAGACTAGTCTAAGCAGTTTATGCAACTGGACTTTAAAAAGTCCTGTTTTTAAACAAATAAAAAGACATGAACAAACATGAAAAGGCAAAAACAGTGGGATTTCTTTTTTGTTTGTTTGTTTTAATCACAAACAATTTTTTTTTATACCAAACTTTATATATAAAGATGATTCTCAACTATGTTATGAAAGATATTTAAAAAAAAACATTTTTCTTTATGCAAAATGTGTGTAAAATGGCCATAAATGGGTTTCCCCATTATATACAATGTATCTATAAACTGTATCTAATTTGCATATTAATGTGTTTTTGGGCCAACATTGAATGAAAAAATAAGTGCAATAATGGGAGTCATAATTGGCAAGATTTTCATAATAATATCTAATATTTCATAGGAATAGTGATATATAATTTTTCCCTATTCATTTGTTGTGTCAACTTTATCTCTCCGATCGCTCTGCTGCTCGATATGATTGTCAAATCTGCAGATTAGAATGAATGAAGGAGGATGATTATGACGATAAAAGTGTTTAGCTGACATATCCCTGGGTCACAGTGTCACAGTATTACTGCTGTAAAATACAGTATTGGATACATAGTCAAAATCAGCTATTTGATTTCTTTAGCAAGTGGTGATGTGTCAAATATTTGATCACAAAACAGAAAGCAAAGCAAAAAGAACCATAATCAACATATTTTGTCAGATTTGATAGATGGTAACTATTTTTCTTTTATTTACCATACTGAATCAAATATAACTGTTGTTACAATTATTCATCACATATAAGGGTGCATTACAGTCTTCAAGTAAAGTGTCTGTGTTCAGGCTAATGTTTTTTTTTTTTCATTTTTAAGGTCAAGTTTTTGATGCAATGGAACTACAAAAATACAAAAAGGCCCCTTTTAAAAGTCTCTAATCATACTGGTAAAAAATGTATAGCCTGAATGCACTAAGTCGCTTTGGATAAAAGCGAAACAAAATTTAAATGCATAAATTATGTTTTATTCCTTGAATGTCAGTAAAAATGGACAACATTAGTTTAGTGTCCAGAACAAACCTGAAGAACATCTACCAAAAAATAAATTTAAAAAATCCACTTGACAACACTGTAAAAAATGATTTGATTTGATTTGATGATCGAAGTTGTAAATAAATATAATATGAGTACATTTTACAGAAAATGTAATAATTTTAGAAATTTGCTGTGTGAAATCTGTATTTTTTTTCAGTGAGGTGAAAATCTCAGAAAGTTATGAACATGTAATATGTGTAATAATTCTTAGTTATATTATCATAGTAAAGTTTCATTAAAAATGTGCACAGATTTCTCAATATTGCACTGAAAAAAAATTGGTGTAGAAACTATTTTTACTCAGAAATTGCGAGTAAATTTCACAAATATTTAAGTAACACATTAAATTTGTATTTTGAATTTTTTTGTAAAACATACTCCAGTAATCTGTTTTATTTACAAGTTCAAAAAATAATTTTTCACAACCTGACTTTAGAGCATCACTTAGTGTCACTCGTTTACTTTATGATGCAAATGGATGTTCCTTCAGACCCCACTGTACACATATTCACGTGCAAAATGTTTTCATGTTATTTTTTCAGATGCATGAAAATTTGGTAACTAAATCATGTCATTTTTTAAGGTCCAGGTGTTTCTCAACCAACTTTACAAGACGCCGGTGGAGAAACGTCTGGATAAAAATCCAGATCTGTTGGCGATCCGATTTGCCTCGACCAACCCCATTCTAGATCCCTGGATCTACATCCTGCTGCATAAAGCGGTTCTCTCAAAGGTGATCGAGAACATCAAGTGTCTTTTCTGTAAGATTGGCTCTCAGATGCCGCAGGGACAGAACAGCTTCCACTGCATGGATGGAGCGCAGGTGTCCTCCATCATCTCCAGAGACTCTCCGTCCGCCGTGTCTCGAGAGCTGAAGGAGGTGACGAATACCTCGCAGACATGTCTGTATCCACCTGAGAGCTGCCTGGACACCTGTCAATCAAACCAGTGTGGGCGGTGCTTATCTGATGCTTCTTCTGAATCCTCCAATCGGAACAGTTTAGACAGTCGGTCAAAAGATCAACCCTTACAAGTGACTATAACCAATGAGACATTTCAAGAGAAGAGCATTTAACTCCTCCTGATGTGTTTGTGTTCATATCATGCAAGGACGCTTCTCCATCAAAACATGGAGATTTTCTCTGATCTGCCTTCTGCACTTTGAGCGAGTGTTGATGTCAGATCAGTGAAATGTAAATGCCATTAAAGGAAC